ATTTTTTTAAAATATATATTTTATTGATTTTTTACAGAGAGGAAGGGATATTTAGAAACATCGATGAGAGAGAAATTGATCAACTGCCTCCTGCAAACCCCCTACTGGGGATGTGCCTGCCACCAAGGTACATGCCCTTGATCGGAATAGAACCTGGGACCCTTCAGTCCATAGGCTGATGTTCTACCCACTGAACCAAAAGAGTTAGGGCAGGATATGATATTTCTTAGCCCCTCCAGCAGGCAGCCGACCTTTGTTTTTTCCTCCAGGAATGTGGTGGAAAAACCCTAGGTCACCTTCTTGGATTCATAACCCAAGTTACCAAGAACACTGCAAGTGGCGGCATACAGGGAGCTTAGCCAATGAGCGGTCAGAAAAGGTGTTTACACTTGAACTGATTTGGCTCAGTGAATAGAGCATCAGCCTGCAGACTGAAGGGTTCCAAGTTTGATTCCTCTTAAGGGCATGTACCTTTGTTGGGGGCACATCCCTAGTGGGGAGTGTACACGAGGCAGCTGATCAATGTTTCTCTCTTATCGATGTTTCCAACTGTCTATCCCTCTCCCCTCTTCTCTTTAAAAAAATCAATAAAATATATGTTTAAAAAAAAGAAAAGGTGTTTCCTCTGCAGCTCATGCACAGAGGACCTCCTGTGTTGTGTCCACTGGGCTAGGGGTGTGTCCCCACCGCCAGGGAGGGCACACCCCCAAGGCCAGCAGCCAGCCCTGCATGTTTTGGGCGCCAGGCTTGGGGGCGTGCAGAGACCCTGGGCCGTGCGCGTGGCTGCCACCGGGTCTCCGCATGCCCCCGAGGCCGGCAGCCAGCCCCACGTGTTGTGGGCGCTGGGCTGGGGGGCTTGGTGCCGGCACACGCACAAGCGGCCATGTGGTGGGAACATCCACTTGGCGCCTGCGCCCATGGGCCCAGAGTGGCTGGGGGCGTTTTGGGACCCCAGCCACTCAGGGCCTATGCGTGGGCCTACAGGCTAGGAGTGGCCTGGGTCCCAAGGATGTTCCCAGGGCCCAGGCCACTCAGCACCTGTGTATGCAAATTAACCCACCATCTTTATTGGGTTATTTTGCATACTCACTCCTGATTGGCTGGTGCGTGTAACAGAGGGATGGCCAATTTACACGTTTCTTTTTTATTCTATAGGATTATTCATTTTATTCTCAAGATATTTTTCCTGTCTTTTATTTTATTTACTTTATTTTTATTGATTTCAGAGAGAAAGGGAGGAGAGAGAAATATCAGTGATGAGAGAGAATCATTGATTGGCTGCTTTCTGTACACCCACACTGGGGATCTAGCTCACAGCCTGGGCATGTGCCCATGACCTCCTGGTTCATAGTGATGCTCAACCACTGAGCCACATTGGCTGGGCTATTCTCAAGATTTTTTTGAAGTATAATCCTTACTAATAAAACGCTAAGTAGTTGTCATGCCCTCGTGTGTGATGCCCCCACGCCGTCACAAGATGGCTGCATGCACAGCGGAGGCAGGACCCGGTGGCCGCTCCACATGGCAAGGCCTGGGGGTTTTGTGGCTCCGCATGGCACCGAGGGGGCCGGTCCCGGCATCTCTGCTGCCTCACAAGAGGAGGCGGCTCCTGGCAGAGAGTCCCCGCCGCCTCGTGCAGAGGAGGCAAGTCGCAGTGGAGAGTCCCCACTGCCTCGCGTGCCACGGGGCAGGTCCCCAGCTCCAGCCTACCTCTTTGGGACAATCCATTAACGAGCCCCGGATGGGTGGGCGGGGGCTACCTCTTTGGGGTGATTGATTGCGGGGCTCCCGCACTGTGAGAGGGCACAGGCCAGGCTGGGAGACCGCCTCCTCCAAGTGCACGAATTTCATGCACCAGGCCTCTAGTGTACATCTAATAAAATGCACAGCTCACTCTTGTCTCTTTCTAAATAGAATCCCATCCAAAATATTACTTCTTTAAAAATATTTTTACTGAATTTTTTTTTTTTTTTTAGAAATTGAGGAAGGGAGAGGGATAGAGAGATAGAAACATCTTTGATCAGCTGCCTCCTGCACTACCCCTACTGGGACCTAGCCCGCAGCCCTGGCATGTTTCCTGACTGGGAATTGAACCAGTAACCTCTTGGTTCACTTGGGTCAGTGCTCAACCATTGAGCCACACCAGCTGGGCCAAAAACATTATTATTACTCACTAGATTATTTTGCTTGTTTTTGAACTTTATATAAAAACAATCATGTTATATACTCCTTTGTCCAGCATGTTTCACTCAACATTGTATGTCATGCATGTTGCATATAAAAGTTCATATGCATTGCTTAGTAGCATTCCATTGTATGACTGCCACAATTTATCTATCTACAGTATTGTTAATAGACATTCTCATCTATGTCATTTATGCATTTCTGTTGTGTTGTAGTGAGGAGGAGTATTGCTGGGTTGTATTGTACATGTTGTTTGGCTTTAGTAGATAATACTAGTTTCCAGAGTACATGTACCATTTCCCAACAAGCACTGTGTCAGAATTCTAGTTGCTTTCCAATTGCTTCATTTCCTCACTAACTTTTGGTATTATCAGGTTATTTTTTGGTCATTTAAGTGTAGATATACTGAAATCTTATTTTTGCTTTAATTTGCATGTCCCTGATGACTAATTATATTGAGCACTTTGCATTCTCTTAAATACTGAATATGTCTTTTATTGATATATGCATTACAAATACTTTTCAGTTTTTAAAAATTATTGTTTTAATCTTCACCCAAGGACATGTTTTATTCATTTTAGAGAGAAAAGAAGGCAGAGGGAGAGGGAGAGAGAGAAACATTGATGTGAGAAACATTCATCAGTTGCCCCCCATATGTACCCTGACCAGGAATCAAACCCACAACCTGGGTATGTGCCCTCACCAGAAATCAAACCCTTAACCCTTCGGTGCACAGGATGATGCTCCAGCCAACTGAGCCACACCGACCAGGGCCCAATATTTTTCACATTTTGAGACTTGATTTTTTTCACTTTTATAATAGTGTTTTTTGATGAGCAGCATTTGTTAATTTTAATAAAATCAGACTTACCAATCTTTTATGTGTGTGTGTCCTGTTTAAAGAAACATTTAAAAATTAGGAATTTGTTGTTTGGGCCCCAGTTAAGTCTAATCAAGACAAAAATCTTTGAATATGAGACCTAGATACAAGTCTGTAGGTTTAAAAAGCACTAGGATGATTTGGATATATAGTTTGAGTAAAGATTTCACTAGTTCCATTGATAAAATTCAGTCTTAAGAGCCTTGATAGTAACTACCCAGCCTATCTGTGCTGCCTTGTTTCCTGTTTCTCCTCTATATGTATATCCTGGCTCCAACCAAATGCAATGACTTGTCTTTACCTTATAATCTTGCTTTTCCTATTTTCCCAGATACTATAAAATGTATTTCTTTAAGACTTTCAAGTTTTGCTTTATTCCTCGCCCCCCCCCCCAGTTCTTGCTCAAGCTCAAAGAAATCTTTCTCAAAATTATCTTAGAAATAATTTGTATGTACCTCTACTGTATTTAGAATATGTTGCATTAATTTATTCATACTCATATGTATCTTCTTTTTCCACCAGATGGTAAATTCCTTGAGGGGTGAGGACTATGATTTATCTATCTTTAGAATGGTGCCTTGCTCAATAGCATTTTTGACAGAAAACTAAAGAAGCGATTTTTCTTTATCAACATTTGTTCTCATTTTTTTTTACTGCTGAATTTTTCCAACAAAAATCTTTTGATTTTGTAGAGTAAAATGAAAAAAATGAAGGAAAAATACAAGGACCAAGATGAAGAAGACCGTGAACTCATTATGAAATTGCTGGGGGTAAGTAATATCTAAAAATATTTTCTTCCTTTGCTTTTCAAGGGGCATCCAGACCCCTGCCTATTACATATGCTAGGTATTCAATACACTTTTGTTAAAATAGTGACAATATTGAAAATACTGACATTAACTTCTTTCCTCTATGAATTGAAGTCTGCAGGTTCAAATAAAGAAGAGAAAGGGAAGAAGGGGAAGAAAGGAAAAATGAAGGACGAACCAGTGAAGAAACAGCCCCAGAAACCTAGAGGAGGACTACAGGTCTCAGACAGCATAAAGAAAGAAACCCCATCCTTTGAGGTTATAACTCATGAGTTACAAGACTTGGCTGTAGATGATCCACATGATGACAAGGTAAGGTTACCATACACACGTGGGCTTTTGCTCCTTAGTTAGGGTTGACCAATCATTCTGGGATTCTCAGGACATGAGACTTAACAGTGCTAAAACCAGGACAAGTAATAACCCTATCCTTGATGGAAAGTCACGCTAGAAATAAACCTTTAAGACTAAAATTTCAGAACATAAAAATGGTGGTGTTCATAGTTGATAAAGTTTATCATAAGTCTTTTTAAAATAATCAGTTTTCTGGAACAGGCTTTATTTAATTCTGGTGGGAACTCAGTTAAAATAAGACAAATAATTGGGACTGTTGTTAAGAAGAGTCTACAATAAGTTTGCACTTCTCGAGGTTTTTCTACAGGAATAAATGCTGTGTTATCTTACATAATGTTGTGAATGGCTACACAATCAAAAGTGCCAAGTGCCCTGATTTCAAAACCATGAAAAGTTAACATTTTTTCCAGTTAAGATGGTTGCCTGATTATTCTATCAAATGAGTACAAGGCTAGCCCTAAGTATATCTTCTTACATGAATACATACATCTTCTTGAAATTCTGAGCAAAGGACTTAAATTTGTAAAAAATTTTATTCAGCCTGTATTTTCATTTATGGCAGTTGAAGCTTTGGTTTTAACTTTGTGTTCCATGAGTGCAGGTAATGTTCATGGAGATTCTAAATGTGTTGCTATTTTCCCCTGTTGTTTACTAATATTAAAATTCATTTCAGTCTCAAATTTTTAGTTCTCATACTTATAATTTATTCTGTAAACTTTAGACTTACAAGTATTCATTAAAGGTGTTAATTTTGCATGTTCTTTCATGGACATATTATGTCCAGATAGGTTTTTAATGTGAGCAAAAATTAAGCTTATCTTACTGTGTGAAAATTTATCCTAAAACTGTTGAACAGAGACTAAAGTATAAAAGTTCTGTTTATCTAAATTCTGTTTTCTTTTTCCTTGGCAAATGCATCAAGCTTAGTTATTTGTCATTTTTATTTTTTTGTTTACAAAATGTTTTATTGATTTCTAGAGATAGAGGAAGGGAGAGGGAGAGAGACATCATTGTGAGAGAGGAACATCGATTGGCTGCCTCCTGCACGCCCCATACTAAGGATTGAATCTGAAACTTGGGTATGTGCCCTGACCAGGAATTGAACCAGCAACCCTTTGGTTCACAGGATAATGTCCAACTGAGCCACATGTGCCAGGGCTGTTTGTCATTTAAATTGTCCTTATAACATTCATCGCTTCAGCATATACTCTGTGGCCGCGATTTTCAACTGGTGTGCCTCAAGAATTTTTAAAACATGTAATACCTGACTATTTAGTCAGGAGCACTGACCTCTTTTCCCTTAGATTAAAAAAAAAAAAAGACAACAGCCGACACAATAGCTGTCCAGTGTGAATAAATCAAAATTATATTTATTTTTTGGTCAGATCAGCAATATATACAGTGGGGCCTTGACTTACGAGTTTAATTCGTTCCGTGACGGAGCTTGTAACTCAAATTACTCGTATGTCAAAGCAATTTTCACCATTACAATGACACGTGATGCTGGGCTGATGTTGTGGTGTTCACAACATTGTGGTGTTCACCACACATTGTGACATTTGCTGCGCCAACTAGCGGCGGGGCATCTGA